TCCCTATGACAGATTTTGATCTAGTTCAGACTTGAACAAACCTAGCCCTAATACACACACATTATAAAACAGTGGAATGTTAGGAGTCAGTTGTAATTTCCCATTAAGTTCTTGGGAAATACAGATGGTATCTTTTTTGCTGAGATTCCAGCTACTAAAACTGTGAAGGAAAGCATATTTTTAGCAATGAAATGGCTTCTTAGAGACTTCTTCTTAAGACACTAATATGCTTTATTATTTTATCTTGTTTGGAGCCTGAAATATTTCGTATAGCTATCCAATGAACCTATTTCGACTACAGTATGATTAGCTTGAATGAACAGTGCATAGCTGGAGCATAGACCAGGAGTGTTACCTTCTATTGGTAACGGTTGCAGCTCTCAGGATGTATAAAACCAGTTAGCAAGCTTATTTTAGAAGCATATTATTTTACAAATGTTGTTATTATGGGGAGTGGACTGCATATGTGTCCATCATTTGAATAACTTTGCATCAAGAAATTGTATACAAGCACTAATAGAAAGCAGGTAATTAAAGGCTGGTAATTAATTACTTAAGAACACAGTTTAAAGTTTAACTATAACAGTTTGTGAAGGTTAAAAATCAAGGCATTAGACAGGAACTTCCACAAGAAAACATTGGTCCATTGATTTTGTAATGTTAAGAGTCAGCTTTGTACCTTGATAGTTTTAAACAAAGAAAATATTTATACTGCTAGACTTAAGATTCATTTGGCCTTTACAACAAGTCCAATATATTGTTTCTTCTTCCTTTTAAGTTTTCTTAAAAGCACAGATGTGCTACTGTGAACTGTAGTAGGAATTCTGGTCATGCTGTGATGGGACCATAGCACAGTGTAGGGTTTCTCTACCAGGACTTTCCAGTTCCAGATGGTGACCTGAGAGCCAGAGAAGTGCATCCACATTTTAAGTTGAAGATGGTTGCTTTTATGAAGGTCAGAGAGCTTGCACTGTGCTTATGCATTAATTGCATACACATGCCCTTGATTTGAGAGGATTGTATTTCTTTTCATTGACTAAGTAAGGAAAGTAGGAATACCAGCGTTATAGATTAGGCTATATAGATGAGCTATCAGTAATTACATGTTATAGATAGCTAAATTAGGTGAGGTGAATACCTAGATTTCATTTGAAGCCTAAAGTTTTAAAATCCATTTTGAGAGTCATTGTGAGTAAACCCCTTAACAATAACATGGGAAATTCTTGTGCTGTATGACCAAAACAAAAACAGTGACCACTTTTGATTTTTTGTTTTCCTTTTATTTTTAGGTGTTTAATGAAATGACGGAACTGCTTTCATCTTACAGAAATTACGATAGTTACCGACGTGCCTATAATGAGTGCAGTAACTTTAAGATCCCAATCCTTGGGGTCCACCTGAAAGACTTGATATCACTTTATGAGGGCATGCCAGACTACTTGGAGGACAAAAAAATTAACATATACAAACTATACTCTCTGTATAACCACATAAGTGAACTGATACAACTCCAGGAAATGCCACTTCCTCTGGAGGCCAATATGGACCTTGTTCACTTGCTGACAGTAAGTCTGTTAGATGAGATAAATACCTCAATTTAAAAAATAGTTTCATATACCTCTCAAACAACTAAGTAGAGAATTCAGTGAATTATAAATACATAATATTGTAAGATTTTTTTTCCTTAAGGAAATGTACAATGATAGAAGAAGAGAAAAAGTTAGTGATACTGATTTATCTGGCAGCAAGGGTAGAGGTGTTGTCCAATTATTTCTATAGAGCAAGGAAGTGTTTATTTCTGCTTCGCTATAGCAGTGTGCTTTCTCTCTGTACTTTCATTAAGGAAGTGCTCTGAATCCTCTGCTGAATAAGCCCAAACAGGGAGAAGGGTAGAAAGCTTCCTTAGATGCAGCTTGGAGGTAGAAGATTGCATACAAATCTTCCTTGTGTTGAACACACAAACTTTCACATAAAAGTTCAGTCCCTCAAGATGTGTAGGGTTAAACACCACATTTCTAGCCAAGTTTCTTCTGGTACTAAAAAAACTGTCTGTTGTGAACATTAGTCAAATACTGTATGCTGTTGTATTACTCTTTCAGTCATATCTAGTCATTGCCATGTTGCTAACAAAATTGGTACTACCTAGGACGTACATCACAACAATAGTTTTAGCTTCTCCTAGTAAGTTAAAATACTACCTTTTATTAAAATAGTGAATCTGCCTTTCTTGTTTCTCGGTTTTGTTTGGCCTTAATAAGTACCTTAGCTTGGAAAAACTAGATAGGCTGCTTCCACTTTCTGGTTACAAGCCCTGTTTCAGCAAAAGGCTAATAGATAAAAATGCTTATGTACTTGAGGTTATTTTTTCTCTCTGGGAGCACTCGTGTGAAATTAGGCAGACATGCCCCAGGCCTGAAATAGAGCTACATAAAGTGGTGAATTTCTTCTTGCTAAATGTTTTAAATGTTTTGTTTCAGATTATTGTAAGTCCCCCCCACTTCTTCTTAAATAATGTTTTATAAAAATGGCTATTACAAATACGAAGCACTTTGTCCACTATTTCATGCAGCTACATATGACAATACATAAATTAAAAGGAATACTTCATTTCGAAGCAGGAGCTTCTAATTTGCTTATATTCCAGGACACATAATTTTCCTGCTTGTTCCCTGATTTTTCCAACAGTCTTTCTCTTGCTTCTGTTTCCTTTAATCATATGCTTTCCCATTAGCAGGCAAATCAGTTTGAAGTATTAGTAATTACACATATAAGTCAATAATTCATAGGTGTACCGTAACATTTGGACTTTCATTTTTTGACTGTCAGAAACTACTTTAAGATTTCCCCAAGAATCTACGATTATTCACTATTACGACTACAACAGTAACTCTTGCAGTTGTTCACAAGAAAGTTATTGCTTATCTGCAAGTTGAGTAAGCTTATTCATTGGATAAAATACCATATTTTGGTTTCTTAGTTTACACACATACAACTGCTGTGATCTTGACTCTCTGTAATAAGTTTATATTTTCTTTGGGCTTGCCATAGGTTGAGGCTAGTAATACACTTACGTCTGGCTTTTCTACTCAATCACATGTCTACTGTGAATATTTTCATGGAAATATTCAAAAATTGTCATGTTACCAGTCTTCAATCTTAGCTTAAAATCTGTTTCCAGTCAATAAAATATTTGCTATACTATTTTTCAGGACGCATACAAAAGCAAAGGAATAAATTTGATATTTTTTTCTAATTCCTTTATTTACCCAGGTGTGATGTTTCTTGCTTTATATAACTGCTGTTGACAGCTAAATATTCTCACTAAATATATGCAAGTCCATTTTTTATCCTCACCATATACTACTTAGATCAACATGGTCACAGCTGGATTGGATAAATATGACATGTTTAAACAAGAGTTTTCTGAGAATTTGAGTTGATGGACAGTTTCACTGGGACAGTGGTGCTTTTGTGCTTAGTTGCATGATATACCACTTGAATATTATGGAAGTACCAGGTTTTTTCAGGTTACTTATTAACCAACTGCTAACTATGCGTACAGTCACCTGCTGTGCTCATGATTGTAGCTGTGCAGTGTTCCAGATTTCCAGATAATGGCAGTAACAGACTGGAATCTAGAAATGTACCCATTTCAAATCACTGTGAACACCTGTGCAGCTCAGGTGCATTCTTTCTAGGTGCAACATAAATTAAAAATTAATCCACCAAAAAATACTAATGCGTGCCAGGAATGAGTTTATCTAGTAGTGACTGTAACGAGTTTATCTAGTCGTGACTGTTTTGGGATTAAACTAATGTTGTGTTTGTTTTCAGCTGTCCCTTGATCTTTACTACACAGAAGATGAAATTTATGAGCTTTCATATGCACGAGAGCCACGAAGTCACCGAGCTGCTGTAAGGGCCTTTCCAGATTCTTTAAAAAAGTATTTTTTTTTTTTTTTAATGAGCAATGTAAATTTTATTCTTTGCATTCATTTTATTTTATGCTAAATTGAAAACGTTTTAGCTTTATAGACTGAGCAAAATCTGTTAAAGCATAAATTGCTTGGTTGATGATGAAGCCTAAGCTAGAATATATGGGAGAATTGACACAGTATCAGGTTTTATAGTATGAACACAAACACAAATGAAGTTACTTGTGTAGAGACATGACTTCAGGCTCAATCTTGGCAACTGATACTGATTCTTTTAAATAAAGAATTCTTAAGTGATTCAAATGATGAAATCCATGAGTGTTATATTGTAGTTTTCTTCTCGTTTTATATATATGGAAATAACAGTGAATTTACAGGGCTGTCAGTGAACTATGACAATTTAAGGAACGACCACTGTTTTAGACAGTTCAGGGAAGAGCTTCTTCTGAGGTACCATGTAATTATCAGAAGTATGATGTTGGGTCCGACAGGCCATTTCTGCAGTCCTGTATCATAAAGTCCATTGTCACAAATGAAAGAAGTGTAACACTGAAAATCTTTCCATGTTGTACTAATGAAGTTCCATTCAATTTATTCTAGCCTTTGACACCTTCCAGACCACCAGTAGTTGCAGACTGGGCCTCAGGAGTAGCCCCAAAACCTGATCCAAAAACCATCAGCAAACATGTTCAGAGGATGGTAGATGTAAGTATAGTTGTCCCACTTACCTTATATATCAGTCATAGATATATGACTGTCAATTGACACAGTCAATCTCTAGAAATGAGAAGATACAAAGAAGGGAAGAAATACTGGACGTGTTCAAAGCTGTGCTGAGAGTGTAAGTGCTTCTGTCCTCACAAATAGATATTTCTGCCTCGCTGTAAATAGCAGCAGCGGCCTGTGAGGCAAGGAAGGAAATTCCTTAAATGGCTAAGGAGCCAGTGGGGAGTGTGAATGCTGGTTTGTATACTTCCAGAGTCGTTCTTCCAAGGAGCCAGGGAGTCCATTTCTACCAGGGTCTCCAACATCATGTTATTGGTGCAATCTAAAAGTGAGCCTCTCAATGGCTTTGTTACTAGCAGCTGCTGCTTTTCCTCTCTCTTTTGGGTCACCCACTTTACTGGAAACTATCAAGGGAGCTCAGGTGATTGATTCCAAAACTGATGGAGAGAGAGAGAGGTACAGAGTTTGTCTTTGCACCCCTGCTTAATCTCATTTCCTTTTAGACACTTCTAATATTGCTAGGTATTCTTTGGTACACGCTGTTTTGGAATATATTTCTAAATTTGGGCTAGGTATGCTCCTTGCCTTATGGCCAGAGACAAACAGTAATGTTCCACAAGTGGAAATAGATGCTTGCCTTATGGCCAGAGACAAACAGTAATGTTGTTCCACAAGTGGAAATAGATGTCTGCATGACAATTCTTTCATATAACTAGTTTTTGCCTAACATTGGCCTGATGAAATAAGCTAGGCAGCTACACTGATTTGGCTGCAGAGATCATCACTGAGAGCACTAATTGAGAGTATTAGTACAAATTGTGTATGTAGGCCTGGATGTAATGATCTTAAAGTGAAATTAAAAAAGAGCTGTTGTGTAGCGAAGCATGAAGTCCAGCCTATGTTGACTTACCAACTTTTTGCTACAAATCAAAAAATCATAACGCTTCTTCAGTCTCAAGCAAAAAAAAAAAGCAGTTAGACCGTTGCACTGTTTCATAGATAATGGGAGAAAGAGGGAGAGGAAATCCATAAATATTGTGGAGACTTTCTAAAGTGGTAATTCAGCCCATCTGCATTATAAATTATTCTACTATTATCTTGCACAGTCTGTCTTCAAAAATTATGACCATGATCAGGATGGATACATTTCTCAGGAAGAATTTGAAAAGATAGCCGCCAGTTTTCCATTCTCATTTTGTGTAATGGCTAAGGACTGGTGAGTTCCTAGTTCTGCTTATCAACTTTGTAGCATCTGTTTTGGGAGGGGCTTTTGGGTTTTTGTATTTAAATTTTATTTCTATCATTAGAGTGGTAAAATCATCCTCTTCACCCACAAATTGAAGTGAAAAAATAACTGACAAAAGCATCTTCTAAATGTGTTGTGAAAAACATCTTCACAAGCTTAACATATTTTTCTTAACATAATAAAGCATGGAAAAATACAGTAGTGATTATTCAGAGGTTTTCTATGAAGTTGTTTTGAGGTTGTATCACATGCGTGTATTTTGCTTATCCTTACAGACTGCATTTTAAATGTGTAGATGAGCTTCTCTAGACTTTGGGAGCAGCTGACAAGATTACTGACATCACTGTAGTTTTTGGCCCATGAAACTATTGCCATTATAAATTGTGAAGAAAGATATGTTTAATTCTTCTTATGCTTTTAAGAAAATGTATGTCTTACAAAGAACTTCTTTTGTTTATTTTCAGGGAAGGTCTGATTAGCAGGGATGAAATAACAGCTTACTTTATGAGGGCTAGCTCAATCTATTCCAAATTAGGACTTGGCTTTGCTCACAACTTCCAAGAGACCACTTACTTAAGGCCTACTTTCTGCGACAACTGTGCTGGATTTGTAAGCTTAATTTTAGTAAATTATATTAACGTTGTTTGGAATCATGCTTTTTAAAATCTCATAATCATCATAGGTCATATACAAAAATGGATCTATATAAAACACCAGTGAAGCTATATAGAACACCAGGCTTCTGCCTGTGTAGCTATTTAAGGCACCTTTTACACCCCTCTGGGCAGTACTGTTATCTGCTTAAACAAGGCTCCTACCTTGTGTTCAGTTGTGTCACCAAACACAGTCTCAGGCAAGTCTACCAAATCCAGAACCTTCCACTCCAGGGGGCTGTCTGAGCTCATGTCCTGGTACAGACATGACATGCCCGCTGCCTGTGGCACAGAAATATTTAGTAAAGCTGACTGTCCTACCAATCCCTGGGTTAGCTGGGATCAAACAAGGGTGTGAGGTAGAATTCTCCTTCAACTCTGGCTCCACAAATTCTCTGGGGGCTGTCAGATCTGCTGATGTATTCGTTGGAGGCTACCTCAAGGTATTTTGTTTGTGATTGGGGAGCACACATAAAATACTCAATTTACCTTATGCTAAAGAAGTAAATAGTTCATATTTTTACCTTACCGTTACAAGAGTAGAAAACCCAGATATTCTGTAGGTGCTCAGATTTTAGGAATGAGTAGAGCATCTAGTGGATTTTTGTATCTGGATGTATCAAATGTGCAGAGAAATATATTGATACATGGTCTCTCTGTTTGAATTTCAGCTATGGGGAGTCATTAAACAAGGATACAGATGCAAAGGTAAGGTACTTTATACTTTGTTAACTTTAATCTATCATTGATGGTGAATGACAAAAATCCTGATCATCCTGAGATCCATTGCTATGTCTATGCACCTATTTAATCTGACCTCTCAGGGAGGAGAGAAGACTCATTCAAGAATAGTATGACAGACAGATGGTCCAGAAGAAATGCAAAGATGAAGGAACTGATAACTAGTAGCTCTAACCCTTTGCAAAACATCCCTGAATTCAGAGGTTTTGGGAACAGACCCTTCTATTCCAATGGGTGAAACACCAACACTGAAAACGGTGCAGCACACTCCCAACATGTATTTTGCAGTTTTCTTCCTCATAGAGGTATCTGCTTTCTCTGCAACTCCTACAGTCAGAACGCTCTTGTGATTGATGATTAAGGGAGTGGAGCATCTCCCTTATGAGGAAAGGCTGAGGGAGCTGGGGCTCTTTAGCTTGGAGGAGACTGAGGGGAGACCTCATTAATGTTTATAAATATATTAAGGGCAAATGTCAGGAGGATGGAGCCAGGCTCTTCTCAGTGATGCCCAATGGTAGGACAAGGGACAATGGGTGTCAGCTGGAACACAGGAGGTTCTGCTTAAATTTCAGAAGAAACTTCTTTACGGTGAGGGTAACAGAGCACTGGAACAGGCTGCCCAGGGAGGTTGTGGAGTCTCCTTCTCTGGAGACATTCAAAACCCACCTGGATGCCTTCCTGTGTGATCTCATTTAGGTTCCTGCTCTGGCAGGGGGGTTGGACTAGATGATCTTCAAGGTCCCTTCCAATCCCTAACATTCTGTGATTCTGTATTTTCACAATGAAAAGGAGTTTTAGGCATATATAGCAAAGGGATGTCATCGGTCCATTTACCAGATGTATGTTGTTACAGGTAATGCGTGTAGAGAACACCACAGATGATTTCTTGCTTCCTGGGGAGGCAACACAGTGCGAGAGCTCATCTTAGATGCTACAACAGAGCCACTGAATTGTGTAAACTTTTTTTTTTTTGTTTACAGACTGTGGAATGAACTGTCACAAGCAATGTAAAGACCTGGTTGTGATAGAATGTAAGAGAAGACCCAAAACTTCAGTTGCAGACAGCAGCCCAACATCTGCTCTTGCTTCAAGCCTCTGTCCAGTAGGAGTCAAAGAACAATTCCATGGTGAGAAAATCAGGTTAAAAAGATCCAGATAATCTTTCCTTTGCTCCTTTTTCTTTTAAAGCTGACTTGTACAGTATTGCTTTAGGGTTTGTTAGTTAACTGCAGTGTTTTATCCACATAAAATAGAACCATGACTAAGTGAGCCTGTACCAAGTGACACCATTGCAGTTCTAGTCTGAATAAGTAAGAACTCCCTTTCTGGGAGATCTCTTGTCTCACTACACAATGCATGCTGCACAACTTCCACAAAAACTGAGTAAATCTTCTGCCAGACTCTCAAAAGAACTCGATGCCATGAACTGAACAGCTGATGGGTCCCTCTCACCTTGTGATAAACAGGACTTGGTACACTCCAGTTTTTACCAGTGTTGTCACATTAAGTGACTATTACACTGTTACAATTTTGAGTCAGATTTAATGTGGAGATTATAAAGTCAGTTTACTTGGGTATCTATGTGCTAGAAAAACCAAGAGTTAGTTGTGTTTATTTTTTCCACTTTAGTAGCTGAATCTACAACTGCTTTTTGTCCAACCATCTTTCATTTAATCAGGAATGAAAAGTCTACACCTCTCTGTTCTTTTCTCCTTATATCCAAACAAGCTGTGTAAACTTTTGATATTGTCTAGGCCTCCAAAGGAGAAAGTGTTGTCCTTGAATAAGACTTCAGGCTACTTTTGTTTTGTTTTTCTTTTGATATTGATGTTCTGACTCTCTCCATACTGACTTTCTTTGAATTTCTCTTCTGTTCTTTGCCTGTATCTAATGTTCTTCAAGTCCACTTCTTGTCACTTTGATATCAATCTTTTGTGTTGCATTTAAAAGTCATACTGCTGGATTCCATCTTGGGCTTCCCATTAGCACTTACGTGGAGCACAGTGCAGGCAGTTGTCCTTGATAACTGACCATGTGGATCTCTATGATCTCATGGCACCTGCAATGGCTACAGCACCGCATAACCACCTCCTGGGATGTCCTGCTTATAGAGAGATTGAACTCTGATGCCCCATCATTGCCCAGTATGCCAGAATGTGTTACCTCTCAATGCTACACCATGTCAAAGAATGAGAATTCAGGTCTAGGTTGGAGGTATAAGCCTCATCTGTTCATCCATATCCTCATTTAATTCTCCAGAGCCTGCAGCAGCTACTGGACTGACTTTGTTCTCTTTCCCCTCATGTGTTTGAACGTGCACTCTCATTTTGTTTTCTTCCCAACAGAAATTATTTTATCTGAAGCAGATCTTTTAAAAATCCTTTAATCACATCTTTTGCCCACTGCTTCTAACATTGTGGGGTTCCCCCCTGCCTCATTTTTACTTTTATCTGCAAAAGTATTTTAGGATGACCTCTACAAAAGCAGTATAAAATTAAAAATGATGTTATTTCACATTTATAAAGTTGATCAGTTGTACTGTACAGCTGCAAGTTATGATAATGCTGAACACACAGATTTAATCTTCCAGCCCAATCACTAAGATCAATGGTCTATAAAAAACCTTTTAGCCGTCTAGAGGTTTTTCTCTAGCTGACCTTGATAGTACACCTGTTTTCCTCTTACTGATCCGTATTTATGTTACTGAGAGACAGGGCAGAGTTGTTCCAAGCAACACATTAAGAAACTTTCAGTGACACCTATTTTGAAGAGCAACAAATGTAAAATTAATAAATTTAAAAATTGTTTTATTTATCAAAATCATGTGCACTTACTGTGCCTCCTGTTTCTCCTTTCCTGGGGTAAGATCTTGAATCAACTTACCATATATATTCTACAGGACAAGAAGAAGGAACATTCACGTTTCCTAATGGAGAAGCAGTGGGACACCATGAAGACAGCAAGGACCGAACCATTATGCTCATGGGTTCCTCAGCTCAGAAAATCTCAGTGAGACTGAAACCAGCTGTGGTTCATAAAGGTACACAGACTGATCCTGCAGTGCTGGCTGGTGATGTATCTCGTAGGCAGACAGAGAAGAAAGAACACAGGATGCCAGAAAATCCTTATCTCCAGGCAGCTCCGCCATCCCCATGTCCCAGCCCACTTCTAGGCCGCAAAAAGGCTTATGTTAAATGGGAAAACAAGGACTCCAACCAGAAAATAAAGGAGGAGCATCACAGCTGTAAACCCTCATACCAAGAACTTGAGCAGGTACATACATGATGAAACAAATTCTGTTTTACACAATGGCACTATAAAGTGGTTGGAGGGTGTGGGGGGAGTGCTGGGTGGGAAGGTGTCACCTTACTCCAGTGTAATTAACAACCAGAACAGTCCGTGAGTGGCATCACAAATTTGTAGCCACTTTAACTCCAGCAATGCTTCACTTCAGGCATAGATTTTAGTATTAGTGTAGGGCCGAGGGAATAAATTTTGAAGCCCTTGTATGATTGTACAGATCCCTGTCAGTCTTAAAAGTGACAGGCAAGAATGGGAACAGAAGCCAATCACTTAGGGTGTTACTCTGTAAAATGAGTAACAGTAATTAGTTTCTTCCTGCTTTTGGTGCCCTCTGCTCCCCCAAGTGACACAATACACAGAGCAGGGAGAGCAGGGACCTCTGCTTCTGTTCAACTGACAGTGAATCCCTTCTTTTTTTGATAACTTTGTCAGCAAGAAATTTTGCTGTGTCAGCAGACACAATGCCTCTTGCTAGCCTGCACCTGCATCAGCTCAGTTGTGGCTCACCTTACTCTACAAGTGTTCTGACAGAGTAGCTGTTCATAAGCCTGTGTCACCTCATATTTGGCCCAAATTCAGGTTTGTAGAAACACCACCTTTCCAGACAGATTAATGAGACTATCACAGTGTCAACAGTGTGACTGATGGATGGATCCAGATGTGATTATGAGGAACAAAGGTGGACTTATTTTCACTGTTCTGAGATGGACCAGCATGGAAACAGTCCAGCAACAGGACCACAGCCTGATCTTTGAATGATCAATATAACTTTCAAAGTATCCTTTGTTGTTGGTAGAGTGAGCTCATCTTTTATGGAAGATGATTGGTTTATTAAGACAGAGATTAAGACAATTAGCAAGAATATTCCAGTACAGACCACTTCTCCTCCAGTCAGCAGTATATTCAGTGTAGACAAGGGTGTGAAGTATGGATGTTCTTGCGAGAGCTGGTTCTTTAAAACATCCCATTCATGTGAGTCCCACCATTTACACTTGTCCTTGCTCCTTCAACAGATCCTGACCTCAAATACTGAACAGCAGCTGATGTTATAAATTAACATCTTAGATTACTGTACATCAATTCCAGCATTAGTGGAGTGCTAAAGTGTGAGCTCAGTTCTTGTTTCCCCTGGATTACTGCTCTTATGAGAGGAGCAGTGAAGGGTGGATAAATGCACATATGGGACATGACTGTCAGAACCAGGTGCTGGAAAGTTCTGAGGCTATAGATAAAGGGCAGACCAGTGTCGTCCAAATAAGTTAGCAGTTTTGTTCCACTGATATATACCAACTTATGTTTATGCCAGTTAGCCTAAACATACAACCAGACAGTCCTGAAAAATTCAAAGTAAAATACCATTCTGTCTCTTTTTTTTGTTTAGGAAAGAAATATTCTAAAGGCAGACAATGAAGGTTTAAAGATCCAACTGGAACAGGCACATAAAACAATTGAATCTCTCACAATCCAGAGAAGAAACCATGTAGTCAACCACCTACACAGAGACTGCTCCTAGCAGACAAGAGGAAATCTCCTATGGAAGAATGGAGGACTGAAGGAGGGGGTGTGATAAAAGCTGCTTTATCAAGTGAACTGGAGAGAGTCCAAAGGATGCTTAACAGAAATATTCCCTTTACTCAACACATTTCCACATTAAACCTACATTCCAAAATGTATAAATGCATTCCTTTGGCTTTTTAAGGCAATTAAGCATTATCTGTGCAATGAACAGAGTATCTTCTGGGTTTGCTTTAAAAAGGAGGGATGTGGTTGCTGAAGTTTGTGTTCATGACGAAGACCATGTGGATTCCCCAGTGACTTGGCTGCCAGCCGGGTACCTTGCTCTACAAGTGTTCTGACAAAGTAGCTACTCATAAGACTGCGTCACCTCAGATTGGGCCCAAATTCAGGTTTGTAGAAACAAATGTTCGATAATGCTGAGTATTTAAGTAAAACTGTAAAATATTCCACTAAGAGAAACAGCTCCTTCTCATTGTGGCTGAAACCAATTAAAATCGTGACATGAACTGTCATCTTTCCAAAGTTTAACAAGAATATTAAAATAAGTAGTTAAGCTAATGATATTTGATTATTTGATTCTTAGACTTTGTTAAGATAAACTGACAAATTTTTTAAACGTCTTTCAGAGCTTCAGAAGTCCTGCTGCTCAACCACTTCACTTTGTTAAGGTAAAACAGACGAGTAGAGTTGACATTGAATACTGCTTCCCTTTCTGTGATTCATGCCACAGTTTGGAACACTTAGCCCAGCTTACGTGGCTTAAGGGATAACTTGTTGTCCACATAAGGTAGATATGGGACAAGGCTGATTATTTTTCTCTCGCATCAAACTGGACCCCATTGTTGAGCAGAACCTTGAGTGAAAGTGTACAGTGATTCCAGTACAACAGTTACTGTGTTCCAGAGCTCCTGATGTCTTCTGGTTCTAACCAGAACCAGAACCTCAGTTTTCTCTCTCCTAGATTTCACATGCACTTTAGTAAAGAGTCAAAATGAGTGTGCTCTTATGTGTGTAAATTTTGTATAGTAAAAGGTGCTAGGGAGGTAACTTAGTTTTCTTAAAGCTACAAAGTGTATATATTGTTAAGAGACAACAAGAGAACAGTCCTTCGAGTTACTTGTTAGAATAGCCAGTTTTAAAATTGCATTTCAAGAGAATCCGTACACTCACAGTTGTATAAAACTCGCTTGCATTTATCAAACAGGGATTTGTCGTTACACACTTACACATCAGAAACTTAGGGCTTTGATATAATTTTTTGGGAAGTCCACTTCATCATCTTCAAAACTTGTTACAAGTCCATTATAGATTGAAATTTAGTCAAGCTATTATGCTAGCATCTACGCTTTGTGTTCAGAGTGGTATAAATGTATGTTCCAGCCACAATTTGCAGTCGTCAGCAGGTATATGAATGCTTTATTTATTAAAAACGCCTGTTTGACTAATTGTGCTTGCATTTCCATGTGTAAAGTAAAAACAAATAGAGGGAAATAGTTGTACTAGTAGTAAATTTTGTTACCTTGCTGTAAATAAGTGAAATGCATAGACAAAACCCAGCAGGTGTGAAGATTGTGCAGCTTTTTTTCCTCATACACTAAACCTGAATTATTAACAGTTACCGTGGAATTGCACTTTGATCAGTGAAGCAAACGGAATGGCTTTCAGGTCACGTCTGCAAACTTGCTTTACCCATTTTTCCGTAAGCTTTTTGATTTTATCCTCTATTCAGGGAACTACAGCAAGGCCTATTTCTAATAGGCATTTAGCAAATGAAAGTCTGTTTCTGCAACAATTGAAATAAGTAAAATAAAATTTGATTATATTTTCACATATTTAAAAAATACCCCAAAAAAGCAGCAAAGACTCATAAATCCTGTTGTACCACTAAGACAACTGCTCACTTGTGGTCTAAACTCTGGATTCTAATAGGATTTGTGTGTATGCATAGACTTTGTCTGTGCTGGGGTGGAGATCATGAACAAACTCTTCCTTAAAAAGAAAATTCCCTACCTTCAGCAGCTGGCCCAAAGGCTACAGTGGCACTAGGCTGAGTACTTAATGCTCAAAATTGAGTTGCAACCATAGATTTGGAGTTTTAAATGCTAACTTAATGTTTCTCTGTGGTATCTTGTTCCTTCAAACAAGCTGAATGACTTCAAAGGGACCTGTTTGCTGGAACATCTTACAGAACACAAGTCTGTGGTGCTCCATGTATGCTGGAAACTTCCAGCTTCAAAGTCAGGTGATACCTGGAGAAACTCAGAGCTCTAGAAGTACTTTCAGGTTCTCCATTTGCCCAAAGCACCTTACAGGGTTTGTTTGTTTGGTTTTTTTTTATGGTGGTAGTCTCTTTTATTTCTTTTGTCACTTCCTTTTTGCTGCATGAAAGACCAATAGCAGAAACTGACTACAGGGATACTGCTACAACTGACAAAGCTACTGAACAAAAATCACTCCCATTTGTATTAATCTTCAAGCTGCTTTATGCTAGAAAAAAAAGATATAATTAAAGTACTAATTAAAGTGCTGTTTAAAAGTCATGCTAGCAAACACTGATACTGAATTTTATCTGTCATGGCTAGTTTCAATGAAAAGCACTCGCCTCTAGTCCTCCCCCAGGCTCAGCTGTGTTTCATGTACATAGAGGAAGGAAGAAAAAACAAGTGCTCCTCCAACTACTGTTTATTTTTTAAGTGCGAATTCTCATGTTTAAAGATAAAAGGAAATAGATGGACTAATATCACCATTAACAAGGCAGGGCTATTGTTGATATTCAGATTAAACACAACTGCTTTTAAAATAGTTTATGTTTTTGAAATATGTTTTTGTTACAGTAGCAATGTTATTTTGTTGTAACTGATCTCTATGGCAACTTGAAAAATGTTTGTTTTAACGCTGTTTAAGAAGATTGAAAAAGTGTACAGATTGTAAAGATTTTATATAACTTGTAAGATTTTGGATTAATATTTATAATAGAAAAATTAAAAATTGCACTTGATGCCTCTGAGTTTGCATCTCAAAGAAATCTAAACAACCCATATTCATCTTCCCTGACTCTGTGATCTGAGACACTTCTGCAGGATTAACCTACTACCAGAGTCCCTAGCCTGGCCTCACCTGCTGTGAGCCTTGGAATGTCACTTGAGAAAAACCATGAAATTAGGTATTTGCAGATTATTCTTTTGGCGTTTCAGTGGTTGACACAATACAGACACTGTTTTGCTACTCACTATTCCAAGTATTACAAAGCACAATTCTTCATTAGCACATCTCTCCCTTTTGTTATGAATGCTCATTCGGATTTCACAGCACGACGGCCGAGTTTCAGCGAGGCTTCGGTATGGTCTGCGAGCGCTGGCTGTGACACAGGCAGCACTGCAGCGCCCCAGGGACCGGCTAGTCTCCACCTTGTAGTAAACCTCAAAACACCTGATCTCAAACATATTTTTATAGGGGGTAATAAACATTCATTCAGTTATCTTCAATCACCTGAGGGAGCTGAGGGAAAAAGACAGGGAATGCAGACTAACTACTGAAAACAATTCCTATTTATATGGGCAAATCTGCTCTAAGGTCTTGCACATACAAAACAAATTGTGTTTTACTTCATAATTATAGAAATTTTTAAAAGAACTCTTCAGAAGTAAGTGGAGGATACTTCCTTAGTTTACATAAATACAAACATAATGATCATATAGACCTATGTATTTTTTTTTTAAACTAAGATAAAATCTAACTGCGATTCCTTAGTATATATGGATATATTTGTGACATGCCCCATCTTGAAATTTTCTTACATTGTTATCTACAGCCTTCTACATTTTGGTCAAAATAGATTATTTTTCATTGTCACAAAAAACTTAAGTTCCATTACTATTGTGAATCACCGGCAGGAATTCTTCTTTACAAGCACAGGAGTAACATGGGATAGTGGATCCAAATCACACTACACAAGTGATGTGAGTAACTTCAAATACAGGACTTTATTCCTCAGTGTTTACAGGTGTCAACAAAAGTGTGTCCCTCAAACCCTGAAAAAAAAAATCCCCCAACCTATTTTTCAATTCTTGATCAAACAAAACAATATTCAGGTAGATATTCAGCAACTGAATAAACACAAAAATGTTCACAAACACATATATGAAAATCTTTTACTTACAACAGAATTTTTGAAAATACTTTTTTTTCCAAGACAAACATACAAAATTTGAGAAGATTAAATCAATTATTTTCACGGTATTATTGCATCTTTTGTTAAATTAAAAGCATACCTTCTGACAACAGAGGACAGAAAAGGATGCCTCTAGGAAATGTAGTGGTGCTTACTTCAGTTTTCAACTACTGGCTTCACATTTTGGAATTATTTTAGAAAAACTGAAATGGCCAGATTTAAAAACAAAACTTCCAACCATTTAAACTGCCATCTTTTACATGGTCTACATGAATATAATTGAAATATGACACTGAAGTAGTTTAACTGTTGGAATTCCATGTGGGCACACAGCTGATGTACTTCATTCAGAACTGTCCTGCCTGCTACAAACAGGATAAAGTGATGAGTGTAAAAGCACCAAGGCCCAGCCACACACACACACACACACACAGAGCTGCAGCAGTTCAACTAAACCAGCGCAGCTTCATGCCTGAAGCCTGGTGAAATCTTTTAAGCACAGATAGACACACCATTTGACTTTCCCCACATATTTCCTTGGTGAAGCTAAATGTTTGACTGCTGTTTGGAAATTACTTGTAGCACAAAATAACATTGGGATGAGCAAAGGGAATTTTATATTAAGGCTTTGGTTGTTAAAAACTACTCTTTCCATTCCTTTGCTGATGAACGCTTCACCTCCAAGACCTGCAGTCTCACTTGGTATGTCACCAATTTGTGAGCTATTCCAGGGCATTAGGCAAAAACCAAGTTCAAAAGCAAGAAAACCAGAACTATGCTCCCACATGACCCAGGAGGGTCTCTCCATAGTGACTGCAGAGGCT